ACGACGGCAATTCACGCAAAGCGGCGTGGCAAATAGACGCAGTGTGGCGTGTGGTAATACTTATCGGGTTATCAACCGATGACGCATCAACATGGCGAAGGACACAAAAACAACAACAGGTGAATGTGTTTGCTGCAGTATTAGTAATTAAAAAGAACAATATGAATCGCGTAAAAGCAATAATTGAAAGTGTATGTTCTGCTGGTTGCATCAGTCTGTCGTGCTGAGATCCGTGTAGTTCTAACAATCACCTACATAATGGGCGCAACTATAAAATTACACAAAATGTTTACAAAATCTAAAGAATGAGAAATTGCATGAAGCAATGTCTTTTTTGAGAGGTTAAAGAAAGCTTAGTTAGCCAACCAAAAATTCTCTCGCTGCTGGACACTACCCACAGCAGGATGATACAGTTCTCATCCTTACACAATTTATTTACATGTGATCAATTTTAATATCATTAACAAATGTCCATGAAAGGGTCCAAAATAAGATTTAATTAAAATCTATTCAGCCATTCTTGAGTTTTTTCATGCTCACGAACAAACGGACGCTACGCATACATTTCCTAACTTGTTTAATTGTAGGATAGTACACTAAGTACTGGACCTCTGAGTCTCCCCATTACTTGCCTCTTATTTAAAGAGGTCTCGTGTTTGAACTCAAGTGTCGCCATCAATATTAAAGGAATTTCAAAGGAATGAAACCCATAAAACTATAGACGGAAGTAGAGCCAACTCGCGAAACGTCGTGTATATATAATACACCTCAGACAACGAACGCTCCACGTAATATGCCAACTGGTGTTACCAAGTTACATTCTCAGGAGTCCTTAAATGCTGTGTGCCATCTGTTGACTCTCATCTATACGACAACACAGGCTATTAATAGTCCTATTGGGAACACCTGGATCGTACTTGTTTGCAACTGACAAGCAACAGACAGTTCGGGTCATATAATTTAATTCACAAATAATATACAGAAATAAATTATAAAGCAGGTCTATTTATTTACCAAACGTTCAATCCTTTATTAAAGCAATTTTGATTCATGACACACTGTAATATCGACATTGGCCAGGAATCGTGTTTACCTTCGTAAGTACGATGAAGTTATGGGTTGGACGATTGGGGTTCGGTTCTCAGAAGGGGGTGCACTACAGAGCAGGCTGTTTGATAGTTATACAGTAAGAACTAATAAATTGTGCTAAAATGGCACATATCCTTAGCATGCAGAAACAACACCAACAACGAACGTCGCGGTTGAGGGGTTAGCACCGCTGCTTCACAGTCGGGAGGTCCAGCGGTTAAATCTCGGCTCTTCAAGCTATCCTGACTGAGACTTTTCGTGGTTTAGCTCATTCCCTCCAGACAAAAGCCAATGTAGTGCCGTAAATTGTTTGTTCGACATTACTTATACTTCTGAGCTATTAGAGGCATCGTTAAGTAAACCATAAATAAGTAAATAACAACGACGACATTTGGACATATGCATAATTCAATAACTCTGAATAATTCAACTAACATTCCTACAAAATTTTCTTCCTATAAAAAGAATAACTCCATAATTATATACTTATTTGATAGTTTTACAGAGATTTCTTTTCACAAAAAGAAACCCTGAAAATATGTAATAAAATGTATAATGAAATATAATATACGGAATATTGACAATAAAATTCGAGCGGATAATTAAACGTATAATTAAATTTTATAAAATAACTCCCAAATTTAGAATTTTGCGTATAAACTAAAATCTGTACCATAAAATATAATTCTGCCTAACAAGAAATGTATTAATCTATAAAAATGAGCTAAGTAGGCAAGAAGTATTTGATAATGTTAATAGAAAGTTTCTGTAATATTACAGTACGGCAAGATATAAACAAGTAACCAACTAAATGAAGCAGATTTGATCTTGAGAAACTGTCTTCAGATAGCGGTATGGGTGGAACATTGAAAAATATTATGTATACACAACAACCGATTTTATCTACACATTAATTAAAGGATTTCATTTTCTACGTGTGGCGTGTTCGTGAAGATAAAACCTGTGCCCACGTAAGATAAAGTTGGAGTTACGTAGTTTTAGAGCAGACACGTGCTATCTTCAGGGACATTAAGAATCAAGTGGGCAATAAAGTGGAAGGTATCTTACAAAGATGAATAAAAACACACACAGAGTTGAAAAGTGCACTCCAGTTGGAGTGCTCGTAATACCCAAATAAGATATTTGCAAATTTACATCTTCGTTGAGCCGAATATTAATTAAATTAATACAAACTAATCTAAAAACAAGAAAGTTAAGAAGTGTTATTTCAGATTCATATGGTTTCGATTATAATGAACCAATTCTAACAGAAATTAAATTCTCAAAACAAGTTTCAGTGCAGACGCCCAATATCCAATTTAATCTAAATTTGTTCACTGGCTTCGAAGATGAGACATACGAACAGACGTGCTTGCAGACACTATCTCCTCATAATACATTTATTTTATGTATTTTTGCAAAGTGCATACAGAAATAGTATAGAAGTAGTCTTACGATGTCTAATTATCGTAAAAATCCCTGCATAGTGAGTGCTAAAGGAATGTTTAGAAGACAGTCACTTGACATGACTTGAACAAAGCGCAGATGTCCATGCTGTACACAGAGCCTGCATTTTTAACCTGAATTAGATACGCCGAAGCGGTTTAGCATTTCGTAAGAACGTTTTCTGAAAAGAGGAGAAAGTTTATAATCACGCCTGTCTTGTCCTTCCCCACCGCCAAATCTAATGTAGCGAAGAGGAACTAGTTAAAGTGGAATTAAGTGTAATTAAGAGCAGATAAAATCAATGAGTTATTCGATACGATTCATTTCAGTTTCTTATCTAAAATCCTAAGAATGAAAACGTCGTACAGAAGTACTATGGTCTTACGTGTTCATATGGGCATGAAATTTGGCTTTTCAGTATAATGAAAAAACATAAATAGTATGAGATTTAAGGTTCTCACTCCGGCGATTATGAAGATTTCTTGTCTTTTAGGATGCTGCACTGTGTAGTCTCGTAGACACTGACCCACATTTCAATTGTGTTTTCTATCTCCATTATCAGAGCGATCTGGTAATTAATAAATTGATTTTATGTAATACAGGTAAAAATCGAAACGCTGCCTTATTATTGCGATAAAACACTCCGTGCTTTAATAATCTATGGGTGACTTTTCTCTTAGATCAGAAAGTCATTCATAGAGGCACATGACAAAACCTCACGTGGAGGAGCTGACGTAAGCTATTTCGTTCGTGTAGTCTCATAAGATGCGTTATTTCTGAATCTATTACAGTTTCACACCCCTTCTGCCCACTCAGAAATGCCAGGAACACATCCAAAATACCGTTCAGTGACAACTAACGACTGCTAAGTTTACACACTTGGAATTTATTCTATGTTTTAGAGAGCGTTACACTCTTGAAAAATATTCTAAACGTACTTGGAGACTGGGACTCGATCAAATGATGTCGGGACGAAGAAACGATGGAACTGGAGTTACCCATATAGCTACACTTAATAATTTACAAAACTTATTTTCATTTACACTGTTTATTTAACTAATTGATCTCTTTCTCCTTCAAGATTAAAGACACAATTCTTGACGAGATAATGAGCACTCAAAACCATTTTCTTCTCTACTTGAAGTTTCATGAGACTTCCACGAACGTACGTTAAATTCACACATAGTAAAGGACCTCTGATATTGCAATGTAATGTTCCGTTTATTCTTGAGACAGAGTCTTCGATTTACATTAGTTTTGATCTGGTATATATCAAACTGGAGTAACCTAATACTGCATTACCAAGTCGGAAAGAGCAACCATGGTCAGTACAACAACAGCGTTACTGAACTGGGAGTCCGCAAGTTATGTCTAAGAAGTTCATGAGATGAGTAAATTCTACTATGAAGATGGTTTCTTTTGGCTTCTTGCGCCGTGTAGTCTGGTAAAACTTTACCGACGTTTCAGAAGTCCTTGCTGCTTCCATCATAAGGGCGATGAGACCACACGGTGCGCAACAACTCAGAAGACAGCCATCTTCATATTCACCTCTGTGAAAACCTCAAATATTAATACAAACTTTCGGATTCCATAGAGGCGGGATACTTCTTACCAGCTGAGCGACTATTATTTTTCTTAAGGATTCTGCTTCATAGAGTGAGATTGTTCAGAAATACACACGAAAGTCAATTAGACATGCTAGAGCCATTGCAGCATCCTGTTGTTCAGCAAAACTAATTCTGACACGTTGAAGAGGCCAAGAGCGTCTGGCAGAAGGCTGCAAGCTAAGCGGAATTTTCCACTGAATATCATTCATTATCTCACCTCTCTAACTGACAATCACTAACGATACTAAGTGTCCACCACAAACGTCCTTCATAGTATACATATTTGCCGACTAACTTTGTAGTTGTGACCTAACACTCTAAACAATGCATCCCATCTCAACTCGGATAACAAAAACTGTATAAAAACAAATAAGTAATAAGGTGTTTCATAATTTGTACTTTCTCCTGATTCTACATCAAGAAAGATCCAATGGCTGACAAACGTACCATGACGAGGAAAGAATATAAAATATTTGTTTGTAAAATCTTTTAGAATGATGTAACTTGGAAGAAGGAATATTAATTTTTGATCTAAGCTCACTTAAGTCAGGGCAGACACATACACAGAAAAAGCGGCAGTTCTAATGTGGAGACGTACAGCATCCAGCTACAATAAGATATCTTGGCATGAACAAAGATCTGCAATAGGTTTCATTCCTGTGTGCACGCAATGTTGCTCACTTTTCACCATCCTTTTATCCTGTACATTACGTCTGACATATTTCTCTTATTATTTTTAAACATTGATGGACTTAAATCAATTAAGGGCTGAGGATCTGATAGAATAAAGATCAGTGTGTAAACAAATTGCATTCAGGCTGTCAATGAATTACAACTCTGTACTGATACTTGTTACAGGTCATGGCAGCGTCTGCTGCAGTCATATTAAGTGTATGGGCTGCAGTATTAGACTCTGTTGTAAGCCAGATCGTAGTTCAGGAAGTGGATGTTGGCAGCACAGCTGTTTTACTCTGTCACAGCAATGATGATCACCACAGGTTCCAATTTTGGGAACTAGAAGGGAACCATTTAATTGGTCCTGGAAATGAAGTTGACACATCAAAATACAAATTTGAGGTTCTGTCTGGTACTTTGTACATTAAGGTGAGGTAATCTGACCCAACATTACCCATAAATTATAATATAATGCAGTGATATTCAATTTTTTTTGTTCGTGTACCCCCAAAGTTATTGGTGCATAATTCAAGTTATACATAGTATATAATCTACATCTAAAATAAATTAAATAAATTACATTACTGATTATTCAGTGTTTATCATAATTTTTTTTTAATTTCACGTACCCCCGGGGGTACGCGTACCCCAGGTTGAATATCACTGATATAATTGAGCAAATATTCACAAGGCTATATATCATACATTAAATTTAATATATGAGGGATACAACTTAACTGACTATTATACGTTGTCCAAACTGGGGGGGTGGGGGGGGGTTTTCCATCTCCTAACAATTTATCACCCTGTTGCACCAAAAGAGCACTAGGATGGGTAAAAACTTCGGTTGAATGACAAAGCATGAGAGAGAAAAAAGTTTAAGCATGGTACTGACATTGACCAAGAGATTCATACTAAAACTTCTGGAATGCTGGAACAAATTAATTCTGAAGGAGGCAGAGTGTCTCAGAATGTGACTCAAAAATTATTCTACTGTATTCATTACAGAATTTTTTTTAAAAGTTTAAAACAAATCTCAATATTCCTTATAAAATGACACAATGTGTTTTATGTACCAGTCAACATTTGTAAATTATATGCGTTGCACATCAAAAGATGAAAGTATATTTATCTGAAGAAGCAAATATCATGAAAGCATATGTACATAAATCTACACACTTAATTTTCATATTGTTAGCATTCTTTTCCATTCTTATTGCAGGTAGTTTATCAATCACACTCTTAACCATTCCACAGTTATAAAATTAAACTGCCTGTATTTAAAGCCAAATTACGTGCATTCTACTTATATTTCTGAGACCATATTCTCTATTCTCTAAGGTAGTCCTGGCATAAGCTTTAATCCTTATTCTCATATAACTGGTTTTTCATGACTGGGAATACATGAATGACTGAGTCACATTTATCTCTTACCAAGAATGTTTGATTGCCCCAAGGCAATTCTTAATACATTGGCACTGAAATCAATTCAGACACTGTAATGCCTACTTCATTCCACTTTTCTTTAAACTGTGCAATGAGAACCTGGGAAGAGCAATGTTTAATTTATCTAGTAACATCCTACTTGCTACTTGGCAACTAACATAATTAGAGACCACAGAGTTGCCTCATTTATCATCCTTTCTTCATGTTTTAATGAGAGAGCAGAATGATGTATAACATATATTGGAGTAAGAGGATTATTTGGATATGACTTTGAGAGTCTTGCTAGAACGTATAAATTACAAGTTTTCTTATTTGAGTTTATGGAAGTGTTAATCCATGCAGATCATGCCGAAGGAGATCTATAATTAGCCTTAACCCTATGTTGCAGAGTGTGTCAACAGCTGAAGCAGGGTTTTACAAATGCTTCTCTAGAGGACTGACAAATTCATCATTTGCCATACACAGCATAGAGCTAGTCGTGAAGAAGGATTGGGAAGATGTGTGGGAAACAGACACAGAAGTATGTTGCTTCATTCAAACGCTGTCATGTCATTTCCTGCTAGCCTGTATTTTATGGTCACACTAACACAGACTGAAGCATGAAATCTATCCAGTATATCTCAAATTACTACAAAATATCAAGGCTTTGGCTGTGCATTACTAGCATACCACTAAACCATTAACCCTGAATTGAAGTCCAGCTTACAACCCTGTAGCACAGGGGTTTAAATCCTATGTTCCGATATGACAAATGTCAACCAAGACAGCTCTTATTCTTCCTTAAATTTTTATTTTATAAAAGCAGACTAACTAACAAACATCTGGCACACTTGACTATCACTGTTACTAATATAAATTTGGGAAATCATTAAGTTACTTTTAATTACCTAAACACTGTGTCACAAATGTTAAATTCACTTTGCTACCAGTTAATTCATAATTACCTGAAGATTTCTGTCTTCTGGGTTGTTGCGCTGTGTAGTCTGGTCGATGGTTACCAACGTTTCAGAGGTCATACTGCCTCCGTCATCAGGTCGATGAATATTCATACGACCTCTGAAACGTTGGTAACCATCGACCAGACTACACAGCGCAACAACCCAGAAGACAGAAATCTTCATACTCACCACTGTGAAAACCTCAAATCTTTCATAATTACCTACTTAAGCACCACTAAATAACCACTCTGATAACTGTTCAAATAAATGACACAACACAAACCAGAACTCTTACACTACAAAGTATTGACTTAATAAATGGTGTATTATGTTGCAGACAAATGTTTACAGAATACTGGTGGTTGTAGCAGCATTAATATTGCTGCTTGGCTTAGCCTATTTTGTGTACCGATTCATTAAGAGACGAAGATCATCCAGGTTTGGAGGTAAGCTTATTTCTCAACGTGGAGCTGATTGAAAGAGCAACATAATAGAGGCTAGTAATATCAGAACACAAACAGCACCAGAGTTTACTTTACCACACACATTTTGCAAGCAAAACTGGATGAATGCTGCTTGACCAAATAAAGTTAGTGCTTATGCTTAACTAAGTACCATTCCATGTACATGCATGGGGCAGTGAAGGTAAAGCTCCACATTCTTTATTTGAAGACTGGCTGTTGTGGAGAACATGCCAGTACTAAATTTTAGATTAATTAATAATCATAGCTAGGAGCCAGCCTAGCCCAGTCAGTATAGTGACTGGCTACGGACTGCACGACCCGGGTTCAATCTCCGACGGGAGCAGAGGATTTTTCCTCTAGCCTCTGTGTCCACACTGGTTCCGAGGCCCACCCAGCCCCCTATCCAATGGGTACCGAGGTCCTTTCCTGGGGGTAAAATGCCAAGGTCAAGAATGAGTAGGAGTTATAACTCCTTCCCCCCCCCCCAAGTGCCTACATGGCATAAAGTGGGACAGTTTTACTTTTACCTTTTTAATAATCATAGGTAACACAGGCATATTAAGACACTACGAAAATTAGCCCAAAAATTTATGTAAATGTTTTCATTTCTAGATTTGTCTGATGAAGAATCTCCAGATGAAGCAGTCACACATGGAGTATCATACAATGTTTCAAACCTTCCGCCTGTGACACCAACCAACATCCCTAATAATCAGGGTGTGGATAACCCAGCTCTGGAAACTGATTTTCCTAAGGTGTTCAAAGTTCTACAGACAACTAGTCACTCACCAATGTGATACAGCACTGCAAAGTAGTGTGTGTGTGTGTGTGTGAGTGAATGAACAGTTTTTATGGACTATGTTTTCAACATTCAAGTTTCTTGTATTATAATGCGAACATTCTTTGATTGAGCAGCAACTACGAGGATACCACTGGTAAGATATAAAGTGCAATTAACATTCAGATAAGAAATATTAATTTTAAAGTAATTATCCCATAACTGCTCATTTTTCCTTCAGAAATAATTAAGTCTGATCACTAAAATATCTGTGAAATAAAAAACTTTCACATCTCTCCATTTCATTATTTCTGTTTTCAAGTACCTCTATATCAGCATTATAAGGATTCTTATTTTGATTTCAATGTAATAGTAACTCTGTTGATCATACAGCACAGGCTAACTGTAAAATATATTACATCAACATTTGCCTAATGTGAAAGCCAAGACAGAACTGGCCTAGTCAAACTTGGGTTTCAATACAAAAGTATAGAAAAACTGAATATGATTTTTGTGCTGCTGCAACATGCAGTCTGGTAGAAGTTAAAGACATTTCAGAGGCATTTGCTGTCTCCAGCATCAGTCTTAACTGCACCTCTGAAATGTCAGTAAACTTCTACCAGACTACATGGTGCAACAACCCAATACAGTTATCTCCACACTCACTGTTGTAACATCAAATCTCAACTGCTTCTTGCTAGTGTGAAACGGAAAAAAACAGTATTACCCGTACTTTGCAAAAACATTTATAAACTCTATTTGAGCTGCAATGGTTCTGGCAATTCTAAATCTACCTCTGGATAATAAAGCATAACAGAAAGACAGCTATACACAACCACCATACTTCATAATATTACTTACTATTATAATACTGGTGCATAGGTAAAGTATAAACACTGAGTATACTTTTATGCCATTTATAATCATTGTGTGTGAGGAACATAAGTGTATGTCGGCTCACATCTTTCATTACTGAAACTAGAAGAAATTAATGACAAAACAACAATCTACATCAGAAATACATATTAAAAGAATGTAAATATACAAAAGCTCACCACTAATGGTGTAGCTTTGCATAATCACAGTTGTTGAAAGTAGGGTTTAAAGTGCTCAGGAAACTTCCAGATGGCCTCAGTTCATCAGGAGTATCCTTTATAAAGATGTACTTCCTGTTTGAAAACAGCTACGAACAGGAAATAAGGAATACTTCATAAGAAATATTTCAAATATGTATCTGGTTCACAACCCAGTAACACTAAATATGGTGTGTTCTGTGGAAACATATATTATAAACAGAATGAACAAAAGAAGAATTTCATTATCAAGTTCTTTATTTTCTTCAAAAATTGTGACAAATTCATTTAAGATGAAAAGTTACAAAAAAAAAAGCATACAAAATCAAAATCTGAAACAAAAAAGTTTAGTTCAAATTATTATTAGCTTATTTAAGGTCATAATGCAGACAGTAGTCAGAATGTATGAGGTTACAACTGAGGCTCTTCATATAGTAAGTAGCATCAAATGAAGTGACAGAAACAATATTAGAAACGTAACAAATATTTATTGTGTTTCATATTGTTGAAAATTCAAGATCACTTAACAATGGCCTCGGTCTTCAGTGCGCTTCCTTGGTGCTGACGTTATTATACTGTCAACACGCAAAATCATTTCTGCTGCTTCTACTGCTGACAAGAGTACCTGTCTCTTGACAACAAATGATTCTGTGATTCCAAGTTCCTTCATACACCCAATTTTTCCCACATCCATATCTGAAATAAATGTTAAATTATGTACGTTACTTATGTTATCACAAAGTCCTTCTAAAAATAAACTTGTAAGGATAGTCATGTTTTAAGAAGGGTACTGTCATACTCTAATGTTTTCAAACTTAGTCCTTCCTCACCTGAGTCATTTCTTAATTTTGAAAATTCCCTTATTACTTACTAAGCCCCATGTTGTTGAATCCCTGGCTGTGGGCGGCACGCAACTCGCTAACCAACTGCGCAGAGTCATAGCCAGCATTATCTGCAATTGTTGTTGGTAATGTCTGCAAAGCCTTAGCAAATGACTCCATGGCTACAGAATCTTTTCCTGGTGTCTTTGCTGCCTCTGACTGCACAGCACAAGCCATAAGCATCTCACTGCAGCCTAGAATGAAAGAAAAACATCCAAGAATGTGGTAAGAATTTTAGGATAACTTAATTAAAACCTAAAAACACATTAACAGAACTCTCAATCAAACTCTTCCTTTGGAAATGGTCTACTGACCTCCAAGAGCAAGAAATTTGTATAAAATAAATACAGTGAAACCTCTATCCATCGTTCCCGGAACTATCGTTTTCCCGGATGCATCGTCCGTTTTGTTCGGTCCCGAATACATCCCATATAAAATAATGTTACATTTTCCCGCTTCTATCGTTCCTCGAACTATCGTTTTATCGCATCGATCGTTCAAAAATCGTAGTCCCGGCCCACAATTTTCCCGCAATGATCGTTCCTGAGAATTTAAAATGCTGGGTTTAGAGATAAATTAATACCGAAAGACGCACAATGTTTTTGGAATAAACAGTAGCGGTAACCTGTTATGTCGCCCAACCAGCACATTCTTTTGGAATGAGGGTCAGCGGTGCAGGGGTGATAGTTGGAGTGAATGGCGGTGCCCATTGTCAGAAATTTTACGATTTTAATTAGGGTGCACTCATATTTCGTTCCAGCGATGCCAGATGGCATGTGCAGTGTGAATTTCTTCACAAATGCTTTTATTACAAGGACAAAGGAAAGGC